CTACTACTACACTACTACACTACACACTACACTACACACACACACACACACACACACACACACACACACACACACACACACACACACACACACACACACACAAAACAATATAATAATGCCCATCAAGTAAAACATCTGTATGTTTTCACTGCCCTGTACTCCTGATGTTTGTTTTATTTTCGTCAAAATGAAACAATCAAATCAAACTAGAGTCTCATTTTCCAAAGACACTTGTTTAATTAAAAGTCAAAAATGCATTTATTATTACTACATTTCCAATATGGCACGGGACATGAATCATTAGTGGTGGAATTTAAGTACATTTACTCCACTTTTGTGTGCTTGTTTGTTTGCTTTGCAAGGATTTATACACTTTAACTACATTTCTTATGATACTTTCGATATTGACTGTTTTCACAGGGTGGAATAAGTACTTTTACTTCAATAAAGTATCTGAATAGTACCTCACTCTGCAGCTCCATGGCAGCTTTAGCGACCTTCATCTCTTCTGTCTGCGGCAGCACAGAGTACAGAGAGGAGCCCATGTCCTTCTTCCCTCCTTCCTTATACTTCACCTGGAGAGGAAACAGCGTGGTCAGAGACAGAGGCTTTGAGGAAGTTGTCTACAGTGTTCTCCTCGGTGCATGTGAGTGTTATCATACCTGGCTCTGCAGCTCGGAGGCCTCTTTAGCGTGCAGCGTGTCCAGAGTTTCAGGCAGTGTGTGGTACAGAGCGCTGCCCGCCTCCTTCCTGCTCGCCTCCTTATACTTAGCCTGCAGGAAACATCCGCTGTTACACCACCTCTGATTACATGTGAGTCACTGAAGATCTTTTGTTAGTGTGTTGGTCTGTTTATTACAATACAAACAGTGGTTTAACTAGTAATTATAGGATATTAATGCTAAACTACAGTACCTGTTGGACCTTAATTGAATCCAGTGAGATGTACAAAGGATAAAGTCACACAAATAAAGAAAGATGAGTACGAGTGTTTCCTCACCTCGCTCTGCAGCTCAGAGACGGTTTTAGCTAACTGAGTCTCAGGAGTTTCTGGCAGCTGAGAGTAGAAACTCTGAGAGAGACTCCTCATCCCTTCCTCTTTGTATTTACTCTGGACACGCACAGAGAAATACATTACAATCTTTCAGCTGTTATAAAGTTGTAAATGTGTGTGTGTTTGGTGTGTGTGTGTACCTCGCTCTGCAGTTCGGTCATCTTGGCGGCGAGCTGCGTCTCGGCGGTGAGCGGCAGCTGGGCGTAATGACTGCACCACATCGACTTCTTCCAGTCCTCTTTGTACTTATTCTGAAGGGAACAATGTCACTTGAGTGGGGTTTCAATTGAGTTTAAACTGAACCAGACACAATCAAGACATAATCAAACTCAATGTCTTTTTTAACACGCTGTTTGAATATCAACGTCAATCTTTCTTTGCATGAAACTCCCTCAGGGTAGTGTGTGTACCTCACTCTGCAGCTCAGTGGCCTCTTTAGCATGCAGCGTCTCCAGAGTCTCCGGTAGTTTGTGGTACAGAGCGCTGCTGGCCTCTTTCTTTCCCGCTTCTTTATACTTGACCTGCAGTAAGGAAGTTAGAGTTGAGGAGAACATATGAGGCACATACAGAATGAAAACATTGTATTGTTCAGAGAATTAAAACCCAGAGTGTGGAGGAGGGGTGAGATGTAGAGAAGTATCAGCCGTTCTAAATGCGGTTCTGATAAGAAGCTCAGAATAGAAGGACGGTCCGTTTATCTGCAGTGTGTCAACATGTCAGAGTGAATGAATGAAGTGTGTGTGACGCAGCACACACACTTCATTACACTGACGTAACCGCTCCCCCTGCAGACTTACCTTCAGACGTTTAACAAAACGCATGAAAAGAACCAAAACAACAATGTGCTGAAAGAAAGAAGTCTTCTCTAAAGACCCAGCTTCTCATGATCATTTTGATTAAACAAGGAGGAAAGAGTGTGTTTTTTAGGGACTATTTTCTGGTGATCTGGTTAGTATTTTTATATTTACTGTATGTTTAAAGTCTTTTCGCCCTAAAATGTGAGCTGACTCCCCATAAAACAAATTGAAATCCTTGTAATATCATCAATAACTGTAAAGGTTTCTCACCTCACTGTGTGTCTCAGACATCTCTTTGATAAACTGAGTCTCCAGGGTCTCCGGCATCAAAGAGAACAGCGTTTCAGAAAGATCCTCTCTGTCCTTCTTGTACTTTGTCTTCAATCAAAAAGACAAAAGAAAAAGATTGGATTGAAGTCATTCAATATTCTGGTTGTTCCCTTTTATACCGTTAAGTTCAGATAAATGCAAGGTGAACGTAGAAGATGTTCAGGTATTCAGTAAAACATTTACAACATAAAACATCTTTATGTTAAAAGAAGAATACTGACATTAATCGTTAAACAAAATCAGTACAATCATTTGGAAAAAAACTTCTATTTTTATTTTATCTTTATTTTATTTTATTCCAAAATGAAATCACAAAACCAATATGCCACTAGTATCCTCAATTTCATAACTATACTCAGATTTAGGATTTTTTTGATATCATTGGCACAATATAGTTTTACTACACTTGAATAAAACGTTGCCTTTACCTGAATGATAATTACAGTTCTTATAATCAATTATGCAAAATAAACGGTCGGACTTGATAATTTTGTTTCAATAAAATGCATTCGCTAATGTTATTTCTGTCTGCAGTAGTAATGCAAACACACTGTAAGATCATAATAACACTTTCCCTCTGCAGAGCACCTGTATGATGCGTTCAGGGTCCTCACCTGGCTCTGTATTTCTGACATCTGCTTGGCGAAGAACGTGTCTGCCGTCTCAGGGAGGAGCGAGTACAAGTTCTTCCCCAACTCCTTCCTCCCCTCTTCTTTATACTTCACCTGAGGAAGAGAGTGCAGAGCTTAGAAACACAGCAGGGATACCTTTTTGACTTTTCCTCTCATCTGTCACTTTTTCTCACCTCGCTGTGAATGTTTTTCAGATCTTTAGCCAGCTGAGTCTCTGAGGTTTCAGGTAGCTGGTGGTACAGAGAGCTGGTCGCCTCCTTCCTGCTCTCCTGCTTATACTTCACCTGCACAGAGAGGGGAAACACAGACACATTGGTGTTGTGAAGTGGCATTGGATCATGGGAGTTGTTGTTCTCACCAAGCCTTTGAGGATCAGAATTATACAGCCAAAGTAATACACAAATACTGCATGTACACACCTGGCTCTGCAGCTGTGAGGCCTCTTTAGCGTGCAGCGTGTCCAGAGTCTGCGGCAGCTTCGAGTACAGAGAGCTGCACGCCTCTTTTCGCCCTGCCTCCTTATATTTAGCCTGGAAAATAAGACGAAAATCACAATTAATAAACAAAGGGAACTTTTGTATCTGATGCGGCAAACACTGTGACTGCAGGTAAACAAATGAGCATTGAACAAATCAATACAATCAAACAACATTTAAAGTAAATCATTACCGTACCTCACTTTGTATTTCAGAAACAGATTTTGCAAACTGGATCTCGTTGGTGTCTGCCAGCTGAGAGTACATACTGACAGACTGGCTCCTCCTCCCACTCTCCTTGTACTTGTTCTACAGACGTATAAACACATATTCAGAAAGATACTTTATTTCTTGTATTATCATAGTTGTGTTGCAGTACGTGCATGTCTTATTCAAACTATATATTGTTCTACAAAAACCTCCAGATGATTGTAATGAGGGTAATATCTCCATCATATAGAGAACTCTAAAAGGAGGCCCTTTGAGCTCTTTTTCCTGAGCTGGACATATTGTTTTATTCTGAAAATGTTGTTTTTTATGTGATTTTAACAAAAAGAAAAGTGTGTTTGCTGTACCTCACTCTGAATCTCGCTCATCTCTCGTGCAAACTGAGTCTCTGATGTATCAGGAAGCTGAGAGTAAAGAGACGACGTCATGTCCTTCCTCCCCTCATCTTTGTACTTTTTCTGTCGGAAAAATATTTAAAAAAAGTGAGAAAACAAGAGGACATTCACCACAGTAAAAGAGAATCATACATTTAGGGGGAAGTGTACGTTTTGTCAACATAGCATTTTTAAGGTCAGACAGAAAACAGAATATACAGTAAAGGTAAAGAGACACTCACCTCACTCTGCAGTTCAGTCGCTTCCTTGGCGTGTTTCGTCTCCAGAGTTTCTGGAAGTTTGGAGTAAAGAGAGGACGCTGTCTGCTGCTTCCCAGCCTGCTTATACTTCACCTGACACACACACACATGCACACACACATACAACACTTTGACTACAATCTAAAGTATTAAACCCACGACAGTCCTCCTACTCCAAAATCGTTTTATTTTCCTGACTTCTCTTAAACGTTTATCTGCTTTTAACCAGCGTTATCAGACGTGCATGCTATTGGCGGTTGATTAGCAACCATTCTGTGACATCATCAGCTGTCAACCAATAGGATTTCAGCTCCATGCCCTGGTTGACCCCACGTAGAGGACACATGTTAGTCTATGATGTAAATATGGGACATATGGAAGAATTGTTGATATTTCTACTCAGAAATGAGTGTCTCATTTTAAACATTCAGAACAACACAGTTAATGTCACTGTCATAACATTACTTCTTTAAAAAGACCATTCACACCAACAGAAGCAACATTACATCCTGTTATATATTGCATAAAAGCAAGCTTCTTTAAGACCAATAAACTACTATAATATGCATCTCACCTCGCTGTGTGTCTCAGACATCTCTTTCACAAACTGAGTCTCCAGAGTCTCCGGCATCAAAGAGAACAACGTTTCAGAAAGATCCTCTTGGTCCTTCTTGTACTTCGTCTGGAGGCAAAAAGACAAAAGATTGATTTAAATTGAGCACTGTGAAAAGCGTTATATTAATGTCACGTATTGTTATTTTTCAATTATTATTTCAGCGTTGACAGCACCTGGCTCTGGATCTCTGACTGGTGTTTGGCCAGATGCATCTCAGCGGTCTCAGGGAGGAGGTGGTAAAGAGAGGAGGACGCGTCCTTCTTGTGTCCCTCTTTATATTTCACCTGCATCCCAAAGGGATAGAATACATTTAGCATGTGGACGTTTCAGACTGCACACAGGGAGAGTTTCAGACGCTCAAAGTGTTTTCACCTGACTCTGCAGCTGCGTCTGCTCTTTGGCCAGCTGTGTCTGCATAGTGTGAGGGAGGGTGGAGAACAGACTGCTCGACTTCCCCGCCTCCTCTCTGTACTTCACCTGCACCAAACACACACTTTATATGTGTCAATATCTCACTGAGAGAAAGTGCATGGGAGGAAAAGCCTGATAAAAGTCGATTCACAATTTACTTAGCTCAGAGTCAGTGTGTGTGTGTGTGTGTGTGTGTGTGTGTGTGTGTGTGTGTGTGTGTGTGTGTGTGTGTGTGTGTGTGTGTGTGTGTGTATGCCACTCACAGAACACGTCTTGATTTTCACGTGTCTTTCTATCCCGCCCGGCAGCAGGAACAGCTGTCTCTTGGAGCTCCGCCCAGCCTGCACACAAACAACCAATCAGAGAGGAGAACAACACTTGAGTTTGGTACCCTTTTAACTTGTTTCAAGCCACATATAAATGAAGTACAGTAAGAAGACTGCATAGCTGAGTTAGAGACTAACCAGCATAGCTTTGAGTTCCATGCTGTTGGGATACTGTATACGTCCGCCATATTGAAAGGTCCTCCTCAGATTCTGCTCACATGCCTTGGCAATGCCTGGGTCAAAAAAAGGTAACAGATTGATGGATAACCAAGGATATACTTTCACAACGGTAGTGATGGATTTATGATTTTTTTTTTTTATGTATTAGTGGATTATCTACCTTGATACTGCATCCCTGGGCTCTCACAGGCGTCCTGAAGGAACTTCAACATAAACGGCTTCATGACGTCAGAGCAGCGATAGAAAGCTGTCAGGATGTACAGCAGCCGCCATCCTCTCTGACAACTGTCCCTGCACAACATATACGCACCACTACAAGTTGAAGAACTACTGTGATCAAAACCATCAGGCCGCAGGTGATGTAAAATGAAGAAAAAGTCTTACGGTTTGGAGCTGGTGTTGGCGGTCACTTGCTTGAGCACCTGGCAGTAAGACTCATCCTTTATCAGGCCATGGTCAGCACTTAACTGGATATATGAGCACATTCATGCAGACAATTATGTTGATCTTTAATTTCACTTAAACGCATCACATGTAAGTATTTATTTCGTTAATATTTTCTAAGCCATTCAACGTCATTGTGTGTGTTAGTGTGTGTGTGTGTGTGTGTGTTTGTGTGTGTGTTTTGGTGTGTGTACCTTCAGTACGGAGGTGACCAGGTCCTGTTCAGTCTGACCCTTCAGGGGGAAGTCTCCCATGAACTTCATTATAGCTGGAAAACAATCAACATGGAAATTAAATATTTTAGGAAACAGAAGTAATGTTGTATTTATTTGTTCTTGTCCCTCTGTCCGTTTCAATTGGATCTGAAGACCTTTCATTTTCCTCTATGACAGCAACCTATTAATATCTACTTCCTATATACATAATTGATGTGTCCTCTCACCTATGAAGATGTCCACAGCCACTCTGTTCATCCCACTGTCGGAGAAGTCAATCAGAGACTCCTGGATTGGAGACTGCAGAGACAAACACAAAGCAAGGAACAAAACAACACAATATTGTTGAAAATATAGAATATGAGAGAAGACAATCATATTTTTGAATGATTGTGCTTTGAAGCAAACTCAGCTGCTTTACCTTGGAGAATTTGACCATGTCATGAGGATCCCTGCCCTCCTTCCCCTTTTTGGCTTTCTGTTCACTGTGTGCAAAATATAGTCAGGAGTTATGAACTGTATGTGTTTTCATGTCGGTTAAAAGTTCATGAATCACATCTTAATCCAGTCCCATTATTTCATTAATTTGAGTAGTTAACATCTAGTTATTTAACAGCATCAGGCACTGGGTAATGTGGGTATTTATTGTTAGACAGCTGGAAGATGGATGGACTGATGGAAAACAAATAATCTTTTATTACCAAGGCAGGAGACAAGGTAGAAGCCATTGTTCTTTGTATTGTGTAAGAAAATAAACTGAAAAACTGAAATTCTCGACAGGAAAATGGACTTTATAACTGTGTAAGATACCCGGTGCCTCGGCGGCAGTTTCATTTTGAGTTTTTGTTTTGAGAAAAAACAGCCGCTACAGTGTGTGTCTGACCTCTTGTTCCTCTGCGCCTCTCTGAAGTACTTCTTGGCAAACTCAGCCATCTGGTACTGGCCGCCGTGCAGAGGCAGATCGTCCAGCTCCGCGCTCAGACCGTCCCCATACATCTCATTTACTACCTGATGCACACACACACACACACACACACACACACACACACACACACACACACACACACACACACACACACACACACACACACACAAATATGAAGCTAAGCAATAGCGTTTAAAGGAACACTAAGCATGTCATTATATAGAAAATATCTCCATTTCTGCTTAACAAAGCATTTCAACATATACTGTCCAAACATCAGCTGGCATCGCAATCAATATACTATATAGGGGTTTTGTTCATGCTGAAATCTGAGACTTATTCCCACTCCAAACCTGTAATTCATACTTATTAACTCTTAAATGGGCAATCACGTTAAATGTTATACGTTATGTTAAATTAATCAATTGGTATTCTCTACCTTACACTGTTATCACACCCATATTTTCTTGGTGTGGCATGATTTAGAAGAATATTCCTGTAATGTGAGTAAAACAACTTCCTGGTCTGCACCTCAGTGGAGAGGTCGAGCTCATGGGCAGCCACTGCTGAGCCCATCGCCACGGCGATAGCAGCAGACGCAGCGACCCGCCCCTGTCGGTCCCGAGGCTCGACGCGCTCAGCGGGGAGAACCAGGAAGTCCGGAGCCGCTACAGGACGGACGTAGTCGCTGGGAAACACTCCAGACTTTCCGTACACAGCACCGAACCGCCAGCCTGTATCACACACACACACACACACACACACACACACACACACACACACACACCATATTCAGAGAGGTTTATAAGTAAAGTAAATTAAAGTAAATTAATAATCTGTCACATCCAAAACACAGTTACAACCCAAGGTGATTAATTGTATTCTTCAGATGTTCTGTTGTGTCTAACCAACTGGACAAAACCCCCAAAATAATCTCAGTTTTTTTAGCCTAAATGATGGTAGCAAATCCTCAATCCACAATGAAATCTAGATAATAAAGATCACAGAAGTTAACAATGCAATGTGTAAGATAAAACCAGAATTTTAGATAGAGCATTTAAACTATGAAAAAGTATTGTGCATCAACTGAAAACAGCATGCTAACGGACAGTGAGTGGCTGTTGCCCTCAGCGACAGGAACGAGAACAATTTTTACAGTTTTGTTTCATCTTCCCGCAGCAAGGAGAAAACCTTTCCAGAAGGACGGCTTGAGGTAACTCCAGAAAACCTTCTCCAGTGCGAGGCTGTAGCAACTCAAATTCAGCCAGTGCTAACCCCGGGCTTTGACTGCCCACACGATTAGTAAACTTTGTGTTGCTAATGTTATGCAGGTTTGACCCAGGACTGCAGATATTTTCTTGTTTCTGCTCATTTGAATTTAGTTCAGTAAACATTCCCTGTATAACCCCCCATTAAGAAGTACAGTAAACACGCAGATTGCTAAAGTTAATTAAAGGCAAGCACTACATGATTAAAATATAGTTTTATCAAATTTGGCCTATTATTCTTGCCATGCTGTAAGTAAGTAGTTCCCTTTTTGATCTATGTTTGTATAACTTGTGACTGTAACGTGCATTACACATTGCACCTTTAAGGATCTACTAAAAACCAAACCTAAAGCAAACAGCAAGCAGACACAGAACACCAGGCTGCCAAACCCACCAAACTCAGGAGTGTCTCTCTTTAGCTCCTCCAGAAGCACGACCTTCTTCCGCACTATGCAGCCGTAATGTTTTCCTGAACACACACACACACACACACACACACACACACACACACACACACACACACACACACACACACACACACACACACACACACACACACACACACACACACACACACACACACACACACACACACACACACACACACACACACACAACGACTACGACGACACG